TAAATTAAAGGTGAAAGTCTATGCTATGGTCACGTCTGGTGGGTTCCTAAATGGTACAGTACTTTTGACTATAAATGGCAAATGAACTGGTACTAATTTAGCACCTTGTACTCGGTTTGCTTTTTACTACAACCAAGGTAAGTAGCAAGAAATTGTGTGCTGATTATGGTTGGCCCAATTTCAGACATGATACCAGTACCTATGAAAATACATAGTACTCCATCCTACAGAAGTAATAGCAAAACAGTTATTTCTAAAAAAAAAGTTGTTAAATTTCAACCAGTTTTTCCCAATTATATGTGAGATTTAGACGTTTTATTTTATATGGTATGGCAGAAATCCAACACAGTACAGAAGAAAATAGCCGACGTTTGGATTTTTAAGACTGCTACAGTATATAGATGCCAGTCTGCTGTTCAAGACGCTTCAGTTAATGCCATGATGTCATTTCGTCCTCCAGAAAGAAGACGTTCCCGCTCAACTTCTAGAGAGCGTGAGCGAAGACGAAGGGAGCGGGATCGCTCTCGAGATCGGGAACGGGACCGTCGCAGGAGTCGCTCACGGTCTCCTCACAGGAGACGCTCAAGGTGAATTTTTGTTTGTTGGTGTATTTGTTTTTGTGTTTAGAGAAACTTTGTTTTCAAGACTAATATTTCCACCTCATTTACTATTTTAGAGACCTTACCCATGCAGAGCTGTGATAGATTTTGGTCACAATGAGTATTGTTAGTATATACTGAATAAACGGCAGTTTCCAGTTTACTATCACAGAGAAGTGTTGTTTCAGATGAGTAGTGGTGCACTTGTGATTTTCTTTGCCCTTTGTTAACAAACTTTTTGTCGAGATTCTTTTAAACAATACAAGAGCACCACAAAGTGCCTTATTTGCTCTGATTAGATGTGATAACCCATCCTGCAGCCATCACTGTGCTCCTTTTGCAGGTCTCCCCGACGTCATCGATCCTCCTCCCTCTCTCCTTCGAGACAAAAGGAGAGACGAGATGATGAGCGCAAAGACTCAAAGGAAAAGACGGCAAAGCCCATTCAGATCTCAGGTATCAGACATTATTTATACACTTGCACATTAAGCAGGAATCTTAGTTTTTCAGGCATTTTGTAGTAACAGAGACTAAATTCAATGTTTTTTTTCTATTTTTTAAATAGCGGAGGACATGCAGGGCAAAACGGAGGAGGAGATTGAGATGATGAAGCTTATGGGATTTGGGAACTTTGATACCAGCAAGGTGAGAGTTGTTCTATGTGTTATGCAGCCACAAGGGGGTGCAGTTTATTTCTAATAAAGTTCACTACACACACACACAGTATGTTTGCATTTATTTCAGTGGATTGAAATGGAACTTCCAAAAGCACATTGGCACTGATGAAATTGATTAGAGCAGCTGCTGTAAAAAGCAGGTTGTCCTTGTTTAAATAAAGGGGACATTTTTCACATTTTTCCCTTGACTCTTTCTATTTAGGGGAATACTGTTGTTTTTGAGTTATGGTTCTTTTTTCCCCCCTGCTTATCTGTCAAATTGGAGCGTGCACGCTCCAATTTGCATAACTATTTTCAAATCCCTATTATATTTTCGTTTTTGCTGCAGGTTGTAAAAATGAGTGTATCTCAAAAATGAAATTATAAAGACACTCAAAATAAATTTCCTGTGGCTGGGAACTATTTTGTGAAACTTTGCATTTACAGTTTTGGGGGATGTACCTCTGAAGTTTCTGTAACTATAAAAATTTGTAAAAAAAAAAAAACAATTTTCAGTTTCTTTTTTAGTTTATTGCACATTTTTGGTATTTATGTAGTTACTATGGACATATTGCATTCGTATGATTTAAATTTAGGATATAATGATTTTATTGATGTATAGCAACTGGAAATGCTCCAAAAATGGCACTACAGCATGTAATAATGTAAAGATAAGCTCAGGCGGACTTGGTTCTATGGTGGGCTTAAAACGGTTAAAAATTGACATAATTGACACATACTGAAATGTTTGTACATGAATCTACATTCATGTACAAATAGAGCAGCTTTCACATGACAGCAAGCCCCCCATGGCTAATGTAAGTTTGCAGTACTGTGCAAGAGTCTTGAGCCGCTCTCATTTATTTTGCTTCTATAACGAGCAGTGTTATAACCCTAACCCTTTAGGGACTTTTGTTGCTAATAGCCTGTCACAGTATCTAAAAGTAATATTCTTTTGAAGTAGGAACAAATCCAGCAATGACCTGGCACAGGGAAGCATCTGACCCTTCGGGTGGTCATCTGTTCACTGAAGCCTCATCAAAAATAGTGTTAGTGGAAAGGTGAAACCATTCTTAAGGAAGAATAAAAGGAGAAAAGGCTGAAGTGTTCCAAATTACACAAGAACTGAACTGAAAATCGGTGGTAACAAGTCTTAGACATGATAAATCAAAATGTGAGTTTCTTGGTTCAGTTTTTCATAATATGTATGCAGGAGGTTAAGATAGAGGTACAACACTGAGTGTCTGCAGCAATCTAAAACAGAGGGTGGAGGATTTTTTGTGGTTTGGGGCTGCACTTCAAGCAGTGCTGTTCAGTATGAACACAGAAAAGTACCATCATTTTAATCAACCATGTAATAGCATCTGGGAAGCATGTGACTGGCAAGGGCTTCATTGTTTAGCATGACCCAGTCACACTGCCAAAGCACACCCGGTTAGATAGCCGAGCATCAACATTATTGAAGCAATGTGGGATCATCTTGACAGAAAACAGAATAACAGGCACATTAAAAATAAAGATTCAATCAAATCAAATTGTTAGCTATAAGAATAGATTAACATTCTAAATGGTATGAAACCTGTCTATTATGAAAATGATCAAAAGGGGAAAATAAGTGGATAGACTTAAAGTAATCACTAAATAAAGAGTAGCAGTTACAAGAAGTGGATGAATAGTTGCAATTATAAGCTAATAGTTGTGGTTGGGCAAACTGTTTATCCAATAAGAGTTGGTAAGCTTAATATAATCACAAAGAGCAAACAGTGGGTTGAAAAGGGTCACTTCAAAACTCAGTCCATTGAACACTAGCAGTGTTATTGTTGATAAAGAGGTTCCTCTGGCAGGCCACTGGGTTTGTGTCCTATTAACAAAACTGTTTTCCACTGATCAAAATCCTTCAGTTCCGTGAAATGCATATTTAGAGAATTCCAACTGCTATCATGAGCTTGACCCAATTCAGCTTCATCTGTACACTGTCATGTTTAGCTAAGAATGTTTTTTAAAAGTTTGTTTCGTGATATGTCATGCAGTAACATTGTTTTTACACAGGGGAAGAAGACTGATGGCTCAAGTAACGCGTATGCCGTCAATGTGACCATGAAGAGAAAATACAGGTAGGTCATTGAACAGAAACAAGCATTTGTAGTTGTTTGGTTGTGCCGTGTCTGTACAGTGCAGCACGTCTCTTTGGATATTTCATAAGCTTTCCTTTGTTAGTGACAGATCCTTTTTAAAGTTTCTTTTGGAGCCCCAGCTGTTAGTCGTGTTGCTGAGTTACGTCAATTTTTCTGCCCCCCCCTCTTCACAGTGTGCACTCTCAGCATCTATCACTGTTAAAGTAGCCAATCACCTCCGCAGGTGTTTCTATGCAGAGATGCCAACGCTCCCATTGGTGCTCGATGATGTAATCTGTGTGTGTTGGGAGGGAAACAGTGATATAATGTTTTCTTATATATTTATTTTACAGGCAGTACATGAACAGAAAGGGTGGATTTAACAGGCCGCTGGACTTCATTGCTTGAAAGTATCATCAACTCCAATGTTCCCCAATAAGTTTACCTGTGTGTACCCTCCCTTCCCCCCACCCTTATGAAAATAGATGGCATGTTCAATATCTTACGTGTTTTGTGTGATTTAACAGTCGTGTATATACCTTTTTATAAGCAAATGCATACATGTAAATAGAAGTACCTGCAAGATGTACTCACAGCTGGGTGAGACTGAGCTTAATATTGCTGACATGGATGATTTATTTGAAATAAAAGCATTAAAAAAAACATGCTTTCTGTCCTGATTATGAAAATTAATTTATTAAAATGCTTATGCACTGATTAAATATCCATCCGCTAGGTTGTGCAGGAACACGGTTTCTTTTGAAATAATGGCTAAATATGACATTATTCATTGTCCCTTTTAAGGATTGAATAGGATCAGATTGGTTATTCCTGTGAATGCTTGCGTTTCTTTCTAGTTTAAATATAGCATAATCTCATTTGGTGTTCTCTGAGAAATGTATCCTATAGGATTGTTTCAAATCCAGGTTTAAATTCAGTCCTACGTAAAGGCTGCTAAGAAACCTTTCCTGGGGTGGTATTTGTTCAAGTCCAGGGTTTATCGTGCTCTAAAATAATGATCCCTCTCATTTTGAAGCAAGCGTTTAAATGTTTCATACTAGATTGGATCAGCTGTGCTGTCTGACAGAACCGACCCACCAAAATAACCAATCCCTGTACTTGTCCTTACCCCAACTACCAATCATAACCGAGCATCCCTCCGGCAGATCCAATCTAGCGCCGAGCCTTTTAAAGCCATTATGGATCAGAAAGCAACAAGCGGGCGCATGCGTGCAGATAGTTTGTGACGGAGAAGAAAGAGACCAATGATAAGAGGTCATGTGAATTGGACCAATCATGTATCACAAAATTTATTAAATGACACAACGGGAGCCAATCGCTGCCATACACCGAGAAACAGCATGGCAGAGAGGCGTGTTGATTGTCAAAAGCGGGCGTTGTCAGATAGGCTCGTGCCCACTAGGGCCAATAGCTGTCAAGTTCATAGAAAAAAACAACCAATTACTGTGTAGGAGTGTATAGCGCAGAAACTGTCTCCATTGTGGCTGTACACAGTGTGTTTCAGCCGATGTTAATTAGAACCAAAATGGCTGCTTAAGGTCCACAGTTGAAGTAAGCGCTGAACCCTCTCTGCAATTGACGGTTTTAACGCCGAATAGGAGCTTGAGAGGTTATACTCAGTATCCAATCACATTGCAGCACCCAGAATCTTTGTACAGTACAGTAGAGAGCTGGTGTCCAGATCAACAAGCCACTATTTTGGAAGCTGTTTGACAAACAGTCACTCTTCTTCAGTTGATGTCAGTCGCTATCTGCGTTTCCAGCGAGACGTATCGCGCGTTAAACCGGCGCAAAACTAACCAGCCATAGCTCTGAACCGATAAGGTTGGATGACATCGTCGGCTGAACTTTAAAACAGCTAGCTCTTTTATATATATATATATATATAATTTTCACAAGGCAAGTGTCTAGCAACTGTACATGCTAACGTTCTTTTTTCACTGGCCGAAGCTTTTCCAAATACAACCGAGATAGCAAGAACTTTCCATATTTAATTTGACAGCTTAACATTGGCGCTAACGTTAGCCAGCCTTTTTTTCACCAAATAGAGCAATTCGGGGATTATTTTTGTATGTCACACAGCCTTTCGTTTTGTTTTTGTCAACAAGCCGTCTTTTCTCGAAGAGCCAACTATAAAGCTGACGATATTTAGCTGGCATTTTGACTTAAAAGGGAACAAAGTAACCTTAGCTCCTGAAGAAGTGTTATTAGTGTCAGCCCTTACTAGCCAGCTAACACCATATCCTTAATTTAACAACCACAGAGGAAGTTTGGCTTTTCGAACTGACTGGTGCTGCATTCAAGGCCTTTAACAGTGAAGGACCAACTCTGTAACGCGCTCTCTCTGGCTCTTTAAAAATAATAACTGACAGAACAGCGAGCTACCCAAGTGTGAAAAAGAAGCAGGACCCTGAAGCAGCCTGTGTACAGCCACGGAATTCCTTTTAGGATTGTTAAATTATCAGTGTTATTGTTTAAAATGGCGGCGATCGGAATGGTGCAGATGTTGATCGAAGCAGCCGAGTACCTTGATCGCAGGGAACGAGGTAAAGTATCATTGTATTCTTTTCTACTCTTTTCTTATTCACTCTGTGCAATGTAACATTAACACCCCTCCCCCTCCGAATCACTCGGATTTAAGCACACGTCGTTTGATGCGTTCCTAAATCCTGTTGCTTCCCATTATTATTCTTATTACATCAAACAATCAGGCCATGAAATAAATTCATAAATGTCGAATTTCACGCATCGATTCAGCAGGCTGCATCACCTGCCCCAAACAGGTGCTAATAAATATGTGATTACAGGCGCATAATGCATACGTGTAAAGACAAACGGGCATTTGCATTCGCGATAATGAAAGAATGAATGCATATGTGGCAGATGTGCAGGGAGACATTGTTTTCGTGGACGCCCCTCCTTTCCTTCTGTTGTGGTTTGCTAGTGGGGTTTATTCCAGTTCAAGATGACATCATTGTCCATCCCGAGGAAGGGGGAAAGGGCTAAAAGATACTACTTGAGACCCATTCCCCGCATGCCTGCTAAAAAGCATAAGACATTGCTGCGGGATGCCAAAAGCTAAAGCTGAAATGTGACACATTGTGCAGTCTCTCCTTCTGTTCACTGTGGGTATATTTTCCATTGCAGGATTTCAGGACATGTGACCACTATGTTGTTTACTTGCTTGCAGAAGCTGAACATGGCTATGCCTCCATGCCGCCATTCATCAGCAGCCGGGAGAGGGAAAGTTTGAAAAGGAAAAGCAAAAGCAAGAAAAACACAAGTAGCAGGTAAAGGCAAAACTGTACATGCCTGATTGGTTTCCTGCTCTGCAACAAGTCGCCCATCACATCCCCACTTCAGGGGTCCCCCGCACCCCCCCCCCCCCCCCCCTCTCTTCCCCTCCTCACTTCTTGGAGGATTAAGCCATTCTTCATCACACTAGTGTTTGTGTTTCAAGTCAAAATCCTTATTTGGTGCTTGTGATGTGAGGCTTGCTTTTTCATTTTTTAAATTTTTTTTTTATGCATTTCTGTACTGTGCTTCCAGGTGGACACGCTAACTGCCCAAATTTAAAATGGCAGGAAGTGCAGTGAGTTCAGAGATAGCAGCCTCATCCCTATTTGCATAATTTGTTATATTCACAGCAACGCTGTTGAAACAGCGACTTTGTGCTCTTGGCCAAACATGGTCACAATCAAACATCCAAAGCTTTGAAAAGGGTTATGACTGCGAGACACTACCTTGTTGTTTTGACATCAAATAGTGACCGGGTCAGACACACTGTTACAAACACCAATCTAACTGCAAAGAAAAGACAGACAGGCTAGGCCAATTTTATAATCAAAATAACATGTTAATGCCTTTTACGTAATATATCTGCAAAAAAAATTGTATTTGTATGTATCTGATCATGTATTTTGCTGAGAGCTTATCTGTAGAAGCTTTCGGATTGTTACAGAAAATAAGTCAGCTCTCTGATCTTCCACTGTAAGCTATAGATACGGTTAGCGTCTGATCACCATATCTGCATTTCAGTCATTCCTGCACACTTTATGATGTTGATGAAGAATAGAACATAGGATTATGAATTATCTATTATCTTTTTTATCACTGACTGCCACAGTGAGAGCACAGCTGATGTCAGCTAATGTTTTAACCGCCTGCCTGTTGCATCTTTGTTTCTTCAACCAACACAAAATACCACAATACTTATAATAGTATTTTTCACGTATGTGTTTTACGTGTTCAGTTTTTAGTATACCTAATATAGTGAAAATATCAGCATTTATTTTCTTATTTTCTCATAGAATAACACTATCTGCAGTCAGTTTACTAATGGACAGTGTTCTTATCATGAATGTTTAGTCATTGGTAACCAGGTGACCCTTACTGCCTCATGTTGGTTTACCAGCTAGCTTTCAAGTTATGTTGCAGTTTTAGTGATCCCCATGCTTCCCCAGAGAGGATCTCTCCCAGGGTTGGACAGGCTCCAACTCCACCGTGTACAGCGAGTGACTACAGTTGTCCCTCTACCCTGAAGTTTCACTTGGAGATGGAAGACCTCTCTAAGCAGAATCTGCAGCACATAGAGAACTGGTTCAGTTCACTGACGCTGCATAGAAGAGCAAGAGCTAGTCTCACTAGCTGCATACTGAGTCGGTGGAGGTTGAGTTGGTACAAAGGATTAAAGACTTACTGGAGTAGCAGCTGATTGCATTGTTTAGTTATTTATTTGATTCGAAATATTTGCAGAGAAGAAAATTCTGATAAACAGTATTATATAATAAATAACCTATTATATGAGGTTGCCATGGGGTGCCTGTGCCATGCACCCCATGGCACAGGGTGCATGCGTACATGTTCAATCCATAGCTTGTATGAAAAAGATTTACTGTACGTAGGCTGAGTTAACATTTACATGATGTGCAGACTATGCCTTATCTGTCAGTGAAGTATTGATGGAAAAGCATCTACCAATGGTGGTAAAGGATTGTGTTGACTGACATATGACAGGGTGGCACATGTGCAAGAGGATAACCTATGCAACCAGAACCTGAAATATCTGCTGGTGTCCACCCATCAGCTCACCTTATATGTGGACAGGGCTTTAGAAGCGCTCCATAATCTGTCAACAGCACTGACATGCTGTATGCATAGGCCACTTTAGGTGTTGCTACCAAGTAATATTTTGTAATTCAGAGTCTAATGGCTAATTCATATATAACACTGCAGAAAAGGTCCTCTGATGTCACACGTATGTGTGAGTCTGTTAGGTTAAGATTACGTTTAGTCTTCCCCATGTGTTCTTTAAAGTATATGAGTGACAGATACAAACGTCATCCTGGCTTAAAGTCAATGACCCCACAGTAAGGAAAAGTGGGTCAGTCAAGGTGATGCAGAAGACATTTAAGTGAGTCCGGTGGTGGTGAGTCCAGTTTGCTGTCATGATCCTGTGTAGGAAGTTATCTCCTGTGTGTACAAACTTTACCAAAGAAAAGGCAGGTTTAAACTACTGCAGGTGATTGTTTCAACAGAGAGGATGAAGTAAATTAAAGGCTGTTGGAAACTGATCTTTGAGATAAAACAGTGACATCTAGGCACCTGCTTCTGTCCTTCAGTAAACACAAAACTGACATATTGTTGATCCCAACCTTTATGTGCCTTCTTTTCATTTAAACATTTTAAAAAAGCAGCAGATCAAAGAAGCAACTGATGAGAGCACCACCAGCTGTTTGCACAGATCCAGTAATTAATATAAATATTTTAAAGTGCTTGATGGTTCATATTGCATGAAGCTGCAATAAAAAGTTTCGATGCTACAGTTACAGAAGAGTTTCATAATACCTCTAAAAATATTTCAGAGACATGCTTTGTTGGTGAAACTGGTGTATCAGGTGTATTGCCATGAGGGTACACTGTTCATCCATTGTTCATCCGTCAGTGCAGAAAATATATGCTGGGGTGCATAATCTGCTTTGTGTAGGACTCATCTGATGTAGGATTGTAGGTATATTTTCTGGACTATCAACACTCTTTTCTACTCCTGTATTTGTATGGTTTTTGTAGCAGTTACATCTGCCTCTGATTTGATAGAAATCTAGACATTTTCCTGTTATTCCTGATCACTGGTATACTTAAAAAAAAAAAAAAAAACATTGTGCGGTTTTCTGTAAGTGGCTGACGTAACTAAAAGTAAACAATAAAAGAGGGAAAACTAAATGTGCAATGGAGGAAATGAATTTGGAAGAAGTTGAGGTGCATCTTGTGACTCATAAAGCTGACCAGCCTGACTCTGGATGGTTAATCTAATAACTTTGTGGCCAAGAATTCAAGTGTAGTCAAAAGAAAACAGTTTAGCCAACTTATAGAAACCAGCATCATGTCTGAAATATATATTTCCTGTCTTATCTATACAGTTATGATGTTCATACTAAATATGGTCAAAGGTTTAAATAATGACATCTGAGTATGTCCCAGTAATCCCAGAAAGCCAATTACTCAGGCTTCAGACAGTTTTTTTCTACTCTGGGATCTTTATCATGTCAGAGAGTGTATGCAGCTCTGGTTGTGAGCATAGAAGCTTCAACAATCTGCTGATCAGTCAATGTCTTTATGAGGGACAGTTAATCGGAGGAAAGCTTAGTTCAGAAAATTGTGGTGTTAAAGGAGAAGAGCTAAAAACGGCTTGTTTCACAGTTAATGAAGTGATGGAGCTGCACTAAGGCCTGCTATAAGATAAATATGAATTTAGGACATTTTTTTTTATATTCACAGCTGTGTATGATGTCAATGAGAGTGTTAATGTTTGTCTCTGACACAATCAAGTTTGATTGTGATCTCAGAAGCCCCACCCATTTCCTCTGCAAACCTTCTCTTCATGTGGGGCAATCACAAGAAAGTTGTGGGGTAGGGGAGCTAAAGCAGCTTCTTTCGCGTGGATTGTGAACTGAACGGCGGCACAAAGGCCCATTAGGAGAGATATGTGACCATTATTTTGAACTGTAAATTATGCAAAGCTCCTCTGGTCTAGAAATAAATATATGAAGCTGAAAATATACAGCATTGGTCCTCTTTATTAAAGGAAACAACTGCTTATTCATTACATTGAGCAGTATATCAGTTGATTTCGACAAAAGTGACTGGGACAAATTTGGAGTGTGCTACCATTTCTGCTGTGATTTCAAAAACATTGCTATTTAAGGGCAGCAGAATCACACGGCATTAATAAGGGTATCTCTGCAATGATGATTTGATGTAGTCGGATCTGACACTGTCTCTTGGTGATTAACAGTACAGAATAACCTGGGTTGATCTCTGCTGGAAAAGATCAAATCAATTAATTGGTGTTATTTGATCAGTTTTATGTTGTTTCTGCTGCTGATTCTGGTCAAATATAGGGCAGGCATTTATATTTGAATTTATACATATGCCCCTCCGGTTTCTGCCATTTCCCCCGAAGCGTAGATGTGTGAGTAGTAGTAGTGGGGGAGGGGACTCGCCATGTTTCTGGCGTGGACGTGTGCATGTGTGTCAGTAGTAAGGAGTCCACCCTCCCCCTCATTTCTCTCTCTGTCTCCCTCTCGCATTTCTCTCTCCTCACCTCCTCCATCCTTCTGTGTCTTTCCTGCTCTGCTCTCACTTTTGGCCGTCAGTGGAGAACAGCAGCGCCTCCATTACAGACAAGGAGAAAGAGTCCTCCCCCTCCTCACTCACAAACACACACATTCATACAATACGCAACTACAGTGCACTGTGGAAATTACACGAGGAGCTTGCCATAATCATTCTGCAGTCAACTGGTGCCTTTCGGTGGTCATCACGCCGTGTTGTTCAGGCTGATGCAGCTGAAAGAAAAGTGCGCTGGTGAATCGTTTGGCAGCAACTCTGTGATCCAGTATTTAACCTTCTGAGGACCTCTGAGGTGACAGTAGCTCATTTAGTGAGACTTGTTTGTTGTGTGTTTTCTCTATTTTTGGTCAGTGATTTCCTCTCCAAAAACAAATGTTGAGGTTGACCCACAAGCCAGTCTGTCACAAGGCTCTGTATAGTTCTGTGACAAAAAAGTACTTTCCCAAGATTCAGAAGCTTGTAGAACCACCTTTAAGCAATACCTCGAAGTAGCTGTCTCCTTATGACTTTATCTGTCTCTCACATCATTGTTGAGGAATTTTGACCTACTCGTCTTGACAGCATTGGTTCAGTTCATTGGGTTTGCAGGTATTTTTGATGCACTTCTCACTTAAGATTGCACCACAGCATTTCAGTAAGGTTGAGATCTGAACTTTGACACTGCAGAATCTTAATTATTTTCTTTTTAGTCATTCTGTTTGAGCCAAGCTTTATCTGTCAGACAGATGGCCTCACATTATAATTCACAATACTTTATTATACAGAGAAATTCATGGTTGACTGAGTGATTGTAAGGTGTCCAAATCCTGTGCCTGCAACATAAGTCCAAGTCAGCACCCCTCTATAAGTTAATATGTGGTCTTTGGGCTGGCACTGTGTAGTATAGCCAAACATCTCCAATTTGGTCTCATCTGTCTAAAGGACATTGTTTCAAAATTGTTTGGGTTTGTTCAGGTGCAACTTTGGGACCCTAAACTGTGCTCCTATGTTCTTTTAGGGGAGAGAAGAGACTTTCTCCTGTCAGTCTTTCCAAATCAACCATATGTTCATTCTTTTTTGAACTGTACTGTTATGAACTTTAATATTTAACATACTAACTGAGGCCAGTAGTTTCTCTGAGCACTGCACAGAGGGAATTTGCTGGGCCATCTACTCTTCGAAAGATTGTGGCCCTGTGTTAACACACACCTGAGTGCTCCAGCCCAGCAAACTGCAAAAACCTCAGCTTTTATAGAGGTGCTCACACTTGGAGATGATCAGTTAAACAAATGCATTTAATTAGCAGCACCTGGCTGCTGTTTAAGATCTTAGTTCCTATGCAAGCAGAAAATGTGTGTATTTAGTTTTCTCCTGTGGAAACCTTCTTTTTCATATGACTGTACTTTAAGTAACTAGAACAGTGATGGAGTTGGAAATTAGCATAGCATGTCATCTTAAATATTGCTTCTGCATTGTGGTGGCATAGGTGTGTTTGGTAAAGTAGCAGAGAGCTATGAGGTGTCTCAGAGCCTGAAATCTAGCCTCAGTGAGTGGGATCACTTCCCTGCCAGCTCTGTTATGTCACTAGCGGCTGTCTGCCCCATACAGGAATGTACACTGGCTAGAGGGGGCCAAGTGACAGAGAGAACACCCAAAGCGAGTGGCAGAAAGACAGCCACACACATGCTGCAGTGACACGCTGCGACACAGTGAAAATATGGTCAACCCCGAGCTTTAAACCCAGATTTGGCCCAGCAACTGAGATTACACACGAGGGGGCACCTTTGAGGTTGTGTTTGTGTGTATGTGTGTAGGCAGGACAGTGCATTAGTTTGCAGAGCTGGAAAAATGCAGAGGCTATTTTGGGATTCAGCATGGGGGTGGATGGTGGGGTTCAGGTGGAGGTTGAGTAGCGTTCAAGAATGTAGAGGGGATCTTCTTCTCTGCTCGTGACCTGCTCTCCTGTTTATCCTTTCTCTCACAGGTCAGACACATATCTACCAAACCCTACACTTGACCCCATTTCTGTGTGTGTGTGTGTACGTGTGTGTGTTACAGATAGAGAGATGTTTTAATACTGCAATGACAGAGTCATGCTGGCCGCGAGCACACCTCTATCTCTCATTTTACCTTCACTGTGTTCCCCCCACCCCCACTCTGCTCAGGCTTGCATGTACAATGGATAATCAGGCAATATGAAGGGACAGAGTCCCATCTACTCCTGTTTCTGGTTACTGTTACTATGTTTACCGTCGGGCCTCCTCATCACGTATCTGTGTACGAGTGTGGTCCTTAAAAAAAGCTTCCACCATGAAACAGGCCTCAGGCATAAGAACACCCAGGCTTTTCTTCATTTTTTTTCTGTCTTTTTTTCCCTCTTTGAATCTTATTTTGTAAGCAGCTCCGGCTGTTCACAGACTCCCACACAACCCAATCTCGTGCTCCCTCCTCTGCCTGGATTGCGGTGCATGTGGAGAAGGGGAAACCTTAGCTTTTTTCATTTTAATCAGTGGCTTTTTTATTATGTCTGATTTTTCATATGTGTTTTGTTTTATCTCTGCAGGTCTACACACAACGAAATGGAAAAGAACAGGTAAAAAAAAAAGAAATCAAATCTCTCTGTGTGTTTGTGTTCTTCAATCCATGAAAATATCAATTCACGCCACCCCATGCCCTCCCACACTGAGGAAGTCTTTAAATTAGTTCAGTGCCAGTTCAGGTCCTGTAACCTGTAACATAATCTGAAACCTTTTTGAAAGAAGGTACATTTTTTAAAGTTCCAGATCTAAGGTGAATGCTCTCAGAGTGACTATCAGGATTTTAAAATTGTAGTAGGCGAATCTCTGGTGATGTGGTGTGACGTGTTCGTTGGTCCTCTTTTATGAGCCTGCTTACATGCATGAGTGGGCGATCAAAAGAAAAGCAGCGCGTATGTAGACAGGTGAAGCTGGACCTCAACTTTTTATCAGGTGAATTATTGAGCGCGATTCAGTGGAATCCTCGGGTTTATCGGTGAAGCCGCACAGCAGACCCGTGAGAAGCAGGATCCCTTCTGCATATGGATGGGCCCGACGTAGGTCAGCTGCACATTAAACAGGCTCACATCACGCGCCTTTCTGGTGGATTAAGAAACCTACAGTTACGAACTAAGGCTGACGGCTCGCCTGTTGCATGAATGCACAAATTGCAGAGAAACTAGTTGAGCTAGATTACAGTCCTGAATAAACCTTACCTTTTCTCTTTTAGCGCGTTGCCATCGTGAAACAAAAGCACAAGTTTTATTTGTGTACTGCCCTGTTAGCTTATGTAAGAGGTAAGCTGTATAACCCGTGATAAGCAGAAGGGAGACGTGGCATATCTAGACATGGTGGACGTGTTGTTTTTTGTAAACTCGTAACTAATCAAGTTTGAATTTAGGTGATAAGGGGGTAATGAGAATAAAATGAGCTTTATGGTGTAGTTAAGTAATTTCTTTTGAGGGGGGTGGAAGTTATGATGAACAAAAGGAACTAAGGAGAGAATCGTTTCATGCTTGAACAGAGCCACTGTTTTGTCACGGTGCCCTCCTGACGCTGATGAGATGAACGACGGGGTCACGGTTGTATCAGGTGGCTCACTGTGCTCTCTGGCTCCTGAGAGCAGCCGATCTAGTTTCAGTGCTGCACAACTTGGTTGTCTTGACAACATTTTGGAGAGCATTCATTCATGATAATTTGGTTATGTAATGGAAATAAATGTAAAAGTTATCAGAGGAGATGGTTTACTAGCAAAAGGGTGGAGGTGAAAACATTGAACGGTTAGAGTTAGGTACTGTTGAAACTGTCATGACGCTCGTTAATCAATTCTGCTTCCTGAATTTGCTGATTTTCTTTTAGCTTATGTGAACATAAACTGTCCCAACAATTGATAAAAGCCATTTTTGGATGATTGTAAAGTCCTCAGTTTACATATGTAAAGCAATAGGAGTCATATTTTGATACAGTCTCTGTCACTCTCTGAGCTAGATGATCCAAACCAGCCGCTCAGTGGACAGGCTGAGCCCTCTGTATGTGTTTGTGGACACACCTCATACCCTGCAGTAAAACACAATTATGACCACTAGAGAACCTACTTAGTTAGTTTCTCCCACCACTAACGTGATGATGGAAAGCCATCAGTGGCGAGTAGTAAATTAGTCACAGCAGCCCACTGCTAGGAAAGCCTCAGGAGTGCAATGAGACCCAACCTCCCTTCCATCAGTATTGGCTTGGTTAAATTACTCACTGTTAGAGGTCAGAGGGCAAGAGCCCTGAAAGCGAGGTGATTTACTGCTAATCAGGCAAAGTGCACCAGCTGACCTAGTTGGGAGAAACCATTTTGGGTCAAAGGGGTGACGACAGCTGCAACTGCTTTGAGTATAACAAACTGAGGCGGCGCATTCACCTCATTTTGGACCAGACACATGCATTCAGGTCAGTCGTATGCAAGTGTGAAACAAGGCCAGAGAAATGTAGGCTGTGGCCTGAGGCTGCAGCTCCACATTTACTGTATAGTTACCTATTGACACAGTGAACCAGAATAACCTGTCACTGGAATAGCTGTGTGTTAGGACCACGCCGTAGTGTTTCTCTGAATCGCCATGTGACTCGTGCTGTTTGAGTCTGCTCTCTGTCAGTGTTTAACAAACATTAGCCAGCCCTTATTATGTCAGAACAACACAGGCCGGACCATTTCCATGTTATGTAATGACAGTCTGCATGTCCTTTGGACTGAGTCAGCTGAGAAGCAGGCACTTGGCTCCAGCTGTTTTGTATGTGCGTGCAAAAGCTCTGCTCGCCGATTGTGTGTTTATCTTTTTAAAGGGCAAGGGGTTGAGAATATATTTGTGCGCTTCCACTGCCCAGAGTCAAATCAGCCTCGTAGCTCTCCATGCACACCATTTGAATAAACTCTTTCCGGCAGTGACGCTCACGTTAGGATTATTTGCAGCAGACAATAAGTGAGCGGCTCAGCCGGCCAGCCCTTCAGCTGCACAGTCAAAAAAAAAGAATAAAAAGAAAGAAAGAAAACAATTTTTACACTCATTCTCAGGAAGAGTCTGACGTACACACGCCCACTCGCTCAGGCAAACACAAGCGCACAGACACGTACACACTGTGACGAGGCTGGAGCTGGAGGTGTGTGTTGTGTAACAGCGGGGTCAAGTGGTCACCAACACCCACCAGACCTTAGAAATTGCCAAGGCTGCCAGCATAGAGGGGCTGAGGGGCATACAGGTGGAAACAGAGGCTGTGAACTGTGTATAGGTGTGTGTGACTGGGGTATAAAGGGCAAGTGACATCAATCATCAGTTGCAGTTCTGAATATATGGTGCAGATGGCTTTCTGGTTTTCTTCTTGTTTAAGAGGACCGTTGGCGCACATCCTGTCGAGCTCTATTATGTAATAGTTAACACACTGCTGACTTCCTGAAACATACAGGGCGCCTCTTTCCGTTTGCTCCTACCTTTATACTCTTTGATCCCAAAGGTTGCATTAAAGAGGAGAAAGTGTTTAGTGGCTCCAGTCTGACAAATACTTGCAGTAATGACACCTGGTTGATGAGGCCTGAAGAGTACAAAGGCAGTTCACTGCAACTTGTTCCTCATATTTGCTTTGATGCTAGGAACTTATCGGCTGGTATTGCTTCAGCACACGCAAATCTCCTCTTTGAACTAACTCAATTTGTGTGAAGTGGACAAAAAATTCCACCCTGACTATGACAGTTACTGTCACAACAAGGAAGTATTCCCACTCTATTTAATGCTTTAACTTCCTGCTGAAACAGAAAGGATCCACTGCTGCTTGTAATCACCTGCAACAAGTAGAGACAAGACATACCACAGATGAGGGAAAAAAAAAAAAGAGTCCTGTCCTCACAGCAGTCTGGCGCAGAAATGCTAATTGGTCCTAATTATCTGGCCATGTCACTGTGCAGTAGTCATGGATACATATTACATCACTTTAGGATTTGGTTAGTTGTGTTTTTTAAGACTGCCGTTAAACTTGTCTAAATGTGAGCATTCAGAATATGCGTGCTACCAATGAAGTAAAAGTATACCTGGATAGAAAAACTCAATGGAACTCCATCAGTCATGGATTGGCCAGTACTTCAATAATAAGTCCAACATTGTTAAAGCAGTGTGGGATTGTGTTGGCAGAGAACAAGAGGCAGCCAACATCCAAAGAGCTTTGAATGTCATTCAGGAAGCCTGGAGAACTATTCCTGAAGAGTACTTGAAGAAAGACAGGAAGCCGTGCCTAAGGCAGTTCAGGCTGTGTAGAGGAATAAAGGAAGGTGTATTGGCTTTCAGACTCATTAGAATTGTCCAACACTGATTTTGCCTAATATACTGTATTTCCATGTGTGTTTGCACGTTTGCATAAGTCATTTCACCTATTTCCCATGTTCCTAGAAAAGTCTAATGACACAAGACTGATTCGAGGCTTGTCAGAGTAAAAGATGGCAAAAAACGCTGCCGTTATAATTCACCTGTTCATTTGTCAGTATTTGGAGAAATGTAAACACAGTCCTTTCAGGGCTCTTAGTATGAAGACAAAATCTCCCCTGGATGTATTTTAAGAGGTTGCTTGTTTCCCCTCAGTGAAAAATCTGAGGTCCTTGAAGCCCAATCATCCAAGTGAATTTTAAGTAAAAGGTCAATTTCAATACAAGAGTAGAAAAAAACAGGATAGTTTAAGATATTTGCATTCAGCTTTTCAAAGCTCAGGTAAAGACTAGTTTTTATCAGGGATTTTCAGATTTCAGTGGCCTACCTTCTTGTTTTGTTTTTGCTTTTTGTTTTTCTGTACATTTAATAGCATCTTCCACCTTCATTTTTATCTTTCCTCTTCAGACGGGCACATCTACGACTGTGTTTGGAGCGCTTGAAATCCCTCGTTCCCTTGGGACCAGATGCTAATAGGCACACCACCCTCAGCCTGCTGATGAAGGCCAAAGATCACATCAAGGTGCGTGGATGTGCGCATGCACCACTCACCTAATCGGTGTGAAGAGGGCAATTTGTTGACCGCTGCGGTTGCTGAGTGTGTTAGTAATTGCGTGTTTCAGTAGCTGATAAGCTGCTGTGGACACGTACACAGGAGCAGATTAGGAGCTGTTCATGAAGCACGCCGTTTTCTCTCCTTCTTCCTTGCAGAGGTTGGAGGAGGGCGAGAGGAAAGCTCAGCACACTTTGGAGCAGCTACAACGGGAGCGGAGACACCTGAGGAGGCGTCTAGAGCAGCTGGGAGTGGAGAGGACCCGCATGGACAGCACCGGCTCCACTCAGTCCTCTGATAAGTCCGACTCTGACCAGGGTGAGGCTGCACACAGGTAGAGCTGTGGCCAACTCAGACGACTTTGTTACCACCACATGCTTTTATTCATGTCACTCTTCACATGTTTCATGTCTGGAACCTCCGGGCAAATATTCAGATGGTTTAACATCTTCTCTCAAAGCACATGAAAAGAATATGGAGGTGAACCGTTGTGCAGGAAGTTCAGAATAGGCATCATTTTATTGTTCTTGTGTCAGGTATTGTCTTCATCATCATCACTAAACACAATCTTCCACAGTGCAAAGTAAAGCGTCTTAGTAAATACACTGCTTATAAAAACACACTCATCAGATCTTAATGTGAAAAAAACATTCTGGATATCTATACTGATGTGGACGAGGTAAAGTGTTAGGAATGAAAGGATGCTACATTTCTTGATACAAACAAAAGTGATCAACCTACAGAGCGCTCAATTTAATAATACCCAAAAAATCCAAGTGAAAAAAAATTATGCATCAAACGCCTCCGTTCTGACAAATGTCATTGCAGCAACTCCAAATGATACTCAGCAGTTTATACTGAGTGCCATTTATGTGGCATTCATTGTTGTTTAGTCATATGGTTAATGTCCTCCCTCCAAAGCAAATGATGTAAAAGAGGAAAGAAGAAACATGGAGAAGTAATAGTTTGTGGATCATATGCATGCTTGATGATATCAGGGCATGCTTCTAATGAGACAACAGATGATGTCCTGTACATTTCCTCCCAGGTCTGGACCAGGACGTCCCTGATCTCCTGCTCTCATCTGTAAAAACACACAGGGCGACAGTGGTGGACATGCCAAATCTGCTACTCTATGGCAAATGCCAATCAGCTCCACAGTGCTGTGTAGTTAGCACCAGGCCCAGTGGGAAACCTCAGTCCGCGCTCAATGAAGTCTGATTGTTTGGTCAGACACATTCACTCCAGCGGCCTGTTTGGAAGTCATTTGTAGCTCTGACAGTGCTCCTAGCACAAATGAGCACTGTCAGTGTTCACTTTTTCTTTTCTTTTTTTGTCTATTTGGACCGGGTTACAGGGACATGACATCAAACAACCTGAATGCATTAAGTCACTCAATAAAAGAGCAAAATCAAAAACCTTTAAATGGTTAAAATGAAAACAGATCTGTGCATGTGTCACCCTTATGCTGTGTAGCTTTGTCCCTGTTGTTTAAAGGGGATTTTAAATACAGGAAAAAAGAGCTTTTGCAGGATGTGCAGAGCAGGGAGTTACCAGCTGCTGCTGCTGGCTGTACAGGTTCCACCATTAACTCGCACTAGTTGTTTAATTAGTGTTACTAGTAATAATAACATCCTCTCTATAAGCGGAGAAACTTGAGTAGATGAATAATATGACATAGTTGTCATTCAGCTCTTTAATGGTGTCGTGTTTGTGTTCTTGTTGTTCAAACAGAGGACCTGGATGTGGACGTGGAGGGGACGGACTACCTGCTGGGTGACTTGGAGTGGAGCACCAGCAGCGTGAGCGACTCAGGGGACGAGCGAGGCAGCCTGCGCAGCAGCTGTAGCGATGAGGGCTACTCCAGCGCCAGCCTGCAGCACGTGCAGGACACTCAGGAGAAGGCTAAGCAGCTGGGCTGCAGCCTATAAACAGCACTCGTCACTGACCCAGCACCCACCTCTTTCCCTCAGCCCCCTCACCACTCCTTGGTCCCGCTCCGACCTCACCTCCCCTTCCTGCCCTTCTTCCTCCCTCTTTACCAGGACTGACCAAGTCTGAGGCCCCTCCTCCAGCTGGGCCTCCGCGGACTTCCTGTCTGCACACCGACTTCCATTCAGACTGCAACACCTCCAAGACATCCAGCCCATCATCAGCGGTCAGTCTTTAGGGTGTCCCCCGCTCTGCTCCGCACCGATAATACGAGCGGGACGTCAAAGACACTCCACCCCCCCCAACCACCCCTACCCCCATCCGACAAAAAAAACACAAAAACAGAACACAACTTTCAGCCAGAGAATGTTACCACACAATGTCCCACTGCCTCTTTTTCTATGCCTCAAGAGCCATGGGAAGCACTTATGAGATTTCACCCATACTTCACACACATAACATCAACTCGCACGTACACACACATACACACACAGACCGCTCCATCTCTCCCAAAGGTGTGATGCTGACATGGTGCGGGGCTTTTTTTGTTTATTTTTTTGCTTTTGCGTCCCGCTCACCGGTCGACCGTATGTGCATGGTACTTTGCACTTAAAATAGCTTTTTTTGTAAACAAAACTATCACCTTTTTCAAACACTGTCCCTTAGCAAAGCCCCACCCAACCCTCCCGCTGCAGCAATGCCACCAGATGAACTGAGTGTTTGAAAAACATGTCAGTCGGCAGACTTTGTGGACACTAAACTAGAGCGCGTGTGTGTGTGTGTGTGTGTGTGTGTGTGTGAGTGATGTTAAACTGTCGACAGCAATACGTCCCTCAGTACTCGGGCTTTGGCAGGCAGGCTCCCAACTGCCCTGTAATCTTTTGTCCACGCCTGCCCTTTAGAGCAAAAAGTAACAGAAAAACCGACAAAAAAGAAAAAAACAAACAAAAAAAATTGTGCAGCATGAGATTGTGACTGGGGAGGGTTTTCAAGGGTGGGTTTGATTCTTTTTATGCCGCTCTCTGATGACGGGGCATTTATTTTATTTTTTTCAAACATCATCCCTTTCTTATGTGTGCTTGTCATGGATATTATGAACACCAGCCACTGGGCCCAATACTGGTACGCTCTGGCGGGTGTTGGTACGTTTTTGTACACTACTTCTTCACTGCCCCATTCACCAGGTATTAAACAGGAAGGGAATCTACTGAGAGCACATTCCACTTATGTAAAGAAGACAGGCAGGTGAGGCTGAGAGCATTATTTCATTACTTGTTGTTGTTTTGGTTTGCGAGTGGATGTTCCTACCAGTTATTTATGAAGAGAGTCCAGTTTGAGATGAAGTGAATCACTCGGAAATACAAATGGTCGGCTTTGACTTTTCAACGGGAGCACACACACACACACACACACACACACACACACACACACACACACACACACAGGATCTCTCTTTCTCTCTGCTCACAGCTAAACTAAATCAGTTTTCTCTCCCTCGCCTTGCCTTCATAGCTATTTATTGTTTTAGCAGAAATATATACCTTTTAATGTAAATAGTTTACAGAAAGAAGTGTCTATCAGCAGATGTATTTATTAGATAAATCTATAGATGAATATACAAAAACAATCTATTTAATTAGTTATAGCTTATGTTCTTCTTGTGAGGTTTGAGAGTTTCCTATATGTAGTTTGTTTGCACAGCCTAGTCAATCCATAAAATATTGAGAAATGTCTCTTTGTGCCTCGAGGCTTTAGTGTCTGTCTGAATTCAGCACGGTGCTCCTAGGAAGTGATTTCTTTGTGGCTGATTCTGATTTTTCTTTTAGCCATTTTCGAAGCCCATAAGAGAAGGATAATGGGACAAAAAAACTGAAGAACTTAAAAAAGAAAATGATTAGAAAGTAGAAAAAGTGAGAGGAGCAGGTGTCCGGGTCAAGCGCAGTGGCGCTGCCGGTTTACCTCCCAACACCCCTTTCCCTCCCCCACGCCCGTGCCTCAGACAAAATGGCTCTTGAGCCTTGTGAGATTTTTTTTCTTCTTCTTTTTCTTTTTACCCCACCTCTTCCTCCTCTTCGCGTGTGGTTCCCAGTCATCACGGGCAGGGACAGGAGCGCAGATCTGTTGTCGTTTCTTCTGAATGTACGCGTTATCAACCCCTGCAGTCGTAGCAGCACGGTGCCAAAAGAAGCTCCCTGCGTGTTGTGCATGCGCCACTTGCAGATCTCAGTTTAAAGCATGATGATGGTACGCCAAAAAACACAAAAACACAAAAAAAAGGAGGAAAAAAAAGGAAAGCAGAAAAATAGATATGAGATTGTTTAGTCGTTGAGTGTCGAACGCTGCTTATTTTTGTCCAAACGGAGAGGGACTGTGCAGCCACGCTAACCAGGTGGGGGTTGGGGGAGTGGGGGTGTTGAAAAGTAGGTGTGAGTGGGCAGGTGTGTTCACTGTAATGCCATCTGTCGGTGCATACGTGTGTGTACAGTATGTGAGCGTGTGTGTGTGTGTGAGTTTACTGCATTATTGTCTTCAGAGATGTATTTTTTTGGTAGTAGAGGGTGGGTGATTTTAAAAACATTGTAAATCCATGTTTCTGTTTATTTGTTTTATTTGAAGAAGAGCATTAATGTCTTTCTGTGGTAGCCACCATTTTTTTTTTCTCTCCTCCCCATCCATCGTCTCATTTCTGTCTTCCACTAATCTCTGTGTGTGTGTGCGTGTGTGTGTGTTTGTGCCATGCAACCATGTGTGAGCAATACACCCTCCTCCACATGCTGCGTTGGCATCAGTGGTTCAGGCAAAGTGTGTGTGTGTGTGTGTGTGTGTGTGTGTGTGTGTGTGTGTGTAGCTGGGCAGTGTACTGTATGTGTCAGTGATCACATCGCACCCCTCTCACTTCCAGTACAAAGACCCTGGTGCTCTCAGCATCTGCCTTAAGAAGCAGGTGTGGAATCTCTCAAAGAACAAGACTACAGTCAGACCAGTTGTTTAAGCTACAGCTTTCCACATCAGGGGAAAACTCACGTTCATGTGTATATTTGGCTTTTCTTTTCTTTTTTTGCACACTTTTATCCCTGCATACAAAGCGGCTCAAAACGGACACACCTGTTACGGCCTAACAGACGCATACAGTGTGTTTACGACAACAGCGACGTGCATCACAAAGGTCATTCCCTTCTTTTCTTCTTCGTGACGGGTCTCAGGCGTGGTGCTCTCATCGCATTAGACACAAAACACACAAGACAACACCCCCTCGTCACGGCTCCATCGAACATCGTCGTCACCTCCTGCCTTTCTTCTCAGAAAGGTCAAACGTCTGTTTGCTGAATAATAACATTAAGGTTTGTGCACTTAACTTTTTAAGAAATTGGAGAATTTGGACACTGTCTTCTAAAGAAATCTCTTCAAATGTAAGAGAGGGGAGAAACAGCCCCCCTTTGATAATGAATCGTTGAGCAGCAATTTATATTTGCCAGTGATATTAAAATGAATTAAACATTTGAAACCCTTGTTTACCTACCTATCTCCTTGTCGTGGTCTTTGTTCATGGTTTGTGATTATTAAGCATACGGGACGAGGACAAATGGAGGCTGTCAGGGGAAATCCAGCCCACCGGTTTCTCATACAATGGGTAATTTTCACGTAGAGGTTGAGTAGACGGTAATGAGGAGCATTTTTTTTGTGTGTGTGTGTGTGTGAAGATAATATAAAAAGAAAGCCTTAGCAGGGGCTTGATCCTCGCCAGCCATCCATTGTGTTCCAGAGTAATCTGTTGGCCAAATCCCATGTTTGTGTGATCACCGCCATCTGACTGCTGCTCTACAGGCAACACACACGAAGCTAGAATGGAAAAAGAAAGAGGGGGATGGGTTTCCTGAAAAGGCTGCATCCCTTCATGCTGCATCTAATGCAAGTCCTCTCCACCCTTTGCATCCACAAACAATCACAGTTCATGTTGTAACTGACCAACAAGTACCTTGACCTATCATGGCAGGAAAAGCATGGTAAATGTCGAATTGTTCAACAGTAACTCAACCTCTTTGAACACACAACATGTCGACTCTTAAGCCAGCCAGAAGACCACATCAGGGGCCACTCCTGTCAACTAAGAACACAAAACACTGGCTACAGTTCACACGGGCTTACCGAAGTTGGATACTTCTCTGCGCACCAACTGAACATCATGGAAAGGCCTGCCTGAGTGTTGTTAGTGACCACATCCATCCCTATATGGCTGGCTGCTTCCAGCAATATAACCAGCCACAGTGGAAATGCTATCATATCATGTCAACACAGACCAAAACGTCTGAGGAATGTTTCCAGCACCTTGTTGAGTCTATGCCACTATTAATGCAGTTCTGAAGGCAAAGGGGGGGTCCAACACATTACTAGCAATGTGTAACTAATTAAGTATGTTATGCTGACACAGATCTTTTAGTGACAAATCTACACCAGGCATCCCAAACTTTATGTGATGTACTAATATATCAAAATGCTAATGACTGAGCTGAATACCAATGTTAACCTTTGAAATCCTTAGGTCATTTTTTTTATAAATGAACACAATACTTTTAACAGGAAATTTGGTAAACTCTGGCAATTTCTGTGAATGTACAACAAAAACCAATTCTGAGCAATAAGCTAACATAGGCCAGCAGACTGACTTGGATAATTTACTCACCTTATGTGGATACGGTTTTTCTTGTCAGGCCTATAACTACACTTCAGTAGAGAACTGAAAAAAAAACCCTCTGTGTTTGAGAACTGTGGATTTGTGAATTTCTGTGGTTTTGAAATACATTTTCCATGTACCATTCTTGCTTCTTATAGAATCCCTGCTGTTTTATGCATATGTTTTTCCTATAACAAGTCTGGACTGCAGGTATGCCAGTTTAGCATCCAGGCTCTTTGGAGTCAGGCTGCTGGAATGCATGCAAAATGTGGCTTGACATGGTTTCACTGAAATTAAGCCCTTCCTTAAAAAAATGCAATTTGAATGGTGCTCCAAACCGTGCCATTACCAGTGACTGTGTGTTAATGCATCCTCATTGGTATATATGATTAAGATATAATAACCAACTACTGTATTTGTGCCATTTATTGGGGTCTCTGAACAAAAAAGAAATACATTCATGTTATTTATCTTAATAAATCATTTGGTTGAATCAATGAGGCTTTCATCTTGTTCACCTCTTCCAAGTGATGCAAAATGATTCAGTCCACCTGCATTCTGGCTGCTTTTACAGCACAGCTAATTTATTATAAATAGAGAACTGCTAATGTGAATCCTGAGTCATGTCTTTCCCCAAGAAAGCAAAATCGAGGAATCAAAAAGAAGAAATGAGAGGTGGAGAAGCAGTAAATGAAATTTAAAGAAACGTGACCAGAGTAAAACCTTTACTGCTCTCAGCATTCATTAGGTATGATAAGTAATTTTCTGAGGCTATGTAATATAAATAACAATATTGTAATGATAAATAAATATACATTGATGAGCATGTAATTACTCCAACAAGCTGATATAGCCTCATAAACATATAAATAATCCATTAAAAATACAAAGCAGTGGGCACCAGTTTGTGTAAGCCACCATGTTGAATCACCATCTGGAATACAGTGGTCGAGATGGACATCTCAGGCACTGTAGCTTGCCTCCACCAGTGTATGAATGTGAGAGTGAATGAATAGTGGTATTGTAAAGCGC